CGGACTCTCTTGATATGCACATAAACTCTTCACAGCAATCCATCCAGTAACTAGTTTGGATCAAAGCGTTAGACCAGCCATCCCCGGAGCTTCGCCTCCAGCACGGCTTAAATACCGGCTTATGTGTGTTTTGAAGAAAAGCAGAGACAGAGCTGAGGGCATCAGGATGTGTCTGTGAGAATCTGTGTGCTCAGGATGCTGCTGCTTGACCTCAAGGTGTGATGACAAGTGAGTGGAGCCGAATAACGGAGCAGCTGATGCCTCCATTTCACTGTCTGTGTGTGTGTGATGGGAGGGTGGAGGGGCTACGTTACTGACACCTTCAGTTATTTATAGCTTCTTTATCACACACATTTTTATCCCCTCTTTCTCCTTCACTCTTTGCACTTGCTGTAATGTTCTCAGAAAACACACACGCTGTGCATCCGAGTCTGAGGCAGCGTTGACAGGAGTTGGTCAGTGTGCACTTTGTCACTACCAAGAGCTCTGTCGACGAAGAACGGAAAGGGAGTGGATGGACGGCATAGTGCAGAAGAGCCAATCACAGGGCTTTGTGCGAGTGTGTGTGTGTGTCAGAGCAAACAGTGTTAGCTAGCAACAGTGCAGGGCTGAGATAAAGACCTAATTGCATAGTGTGCTGTGTAGGCTTTGTGTTCTGTGAGTGTTCACATGAGTAGGTGTGAGGATAAAAATACGAGGCATTAACGAGGCAGGCGTGTTGTGTTTGATATCATGTGTGCGCATCAACAGTTTTTCTTTCTGTGGGTTTCGTAACTTTAGCCGGTTAGCTTTAAACTTCAGGTCATCTTGTCAACGGAGCCTTCAAACTCCCAGAAACACGAGTTTTTAGCGCCTGTTGATCAGTGATCATCAGCAAAGAACGGCCACGCTGGAGTCGATGTAACCAGTTTGGGCGTTTCACAAATTCAAAAGTGCGCTATAGGCAGACACCATCCTGTGACTGCTATATAACATCTGCTGATTGGCCCCAAAAAGGCAGCCACAGGATGATGTCATGGAACAGCGTTGTGGTTAAATTGCCCATATGTCTGTCTCTCTGTCCATCTGTCTGACTCGGTGTGAAACTAAACTATGTTTCAGGTCACCGTGCAGATTGTGCCAAGGCTACGTGAAATTGTACACATACACACACCAACACAGAAACACACACACACACAGTCCCTTGGCTTTGCTGACAGAAGGGCTTGGAGAGTGGGTAATGAGAAAAGGTCCTCATGCATGAAAGCTCACGTCAGCAAGCTAGCCAGCCGCTCGCACACACACACACAGACACACACACATGTACAGAGATGGGAAAACATGTCAGTTACACTTCTGATAACATTCATAACACTAATTTTAAGTCTTTGCTCGACCCTGCTCTCCCCAGCTGTGACCTTCGGTGTCTTCCTCTCTCTTCCCGAGTTAGCAAAGATGCCAGTAAAACTTTCTAGAGCGCTTTCTTCTTCCATCAACCCTCCTCCTCGAATTGTTTTCCAGTTAGGGAATCACGTAAAAGCACAGCAACATCCACAAAATGTAAATCGATTACCATTTAAGAACAAAATAGTTGAGACAGAGCTAGACGGAGCACACCTCGCCATGCTAAACAACGGGTAGCATCACGATATCCAGCTGAGGAAAGAACCACCTGCCTTTACGTGTCAGAGGATTGTTTTAGCTGTCTGTGTCCAGTTAGCTTAACAACCTTAATGCTGTGTGTTAGAAGCGCCACGGGACATAACGTAGGGACAACACGGGCGTGCTGAGTGTCGGTGCCCTCCCACGGCCACTTCTGTTCCTGATGAAAGGCTCAACTTTTGGTTTGGTTTAAAAAACTTTATTCTGAGTTCTTACCTCACAGTCAGGTTTACATGGAAGCACATTCTCACAGTGCAAAGCTGGCCGAGCGCCCCTGCAGAAGAGGCTCTTTGTCATAACTTCAGCTTCCTGTCGTATAAACACAGAGTCCCCAGTTCTGTTTGTTAGGTTATTTCTGACATCAACCTCTCTATTGGCATCGTTTCCTCTTCCCATTAAGAGTTTCTCCTCTCTGGTGGTAGGAAAGGTGGAATTTCGGAAAATGTCTTTTTGGCATCTTTTAGCGGGGACGCAAAGATCTGTCCTGGTTCCCGTCTGCAGCTCCAGGCTTTGGCCCTCTGTGTGAAAGGCACTGATGTAAATAGAAGTGTGGTATATTTATATAGGACTGGCACACTGCCTGATTGATCTGAAACATTACACTGACCGAGACCGCAAACACACACACACACAAAGTCAATACCGTTGGACACTCACAGAAACAGTAAACAGATGTATCGTACCACACATCTGCCATATGTCAAGAAGCACACCAAACCAGACCACGCAGAGCAGAGGCCTTTTTAAACTGACCACGAACTCTGTGGTCAGGTTGTTATAAAGAAACCGAAGCTTTTCCTTATTTCCTTTCATGTACTTTACGTCATAACGATGGATGTTCATATTAAACTTGTAATGAGGTCGGCGTATGTGCGAGTAATCCCCGTCAGGAACAGAACTTCAGGATTTGGACTCTCAGCACTCCGTCTGCTCTTGGCTCTGTATGATTTTAGTGAGGGTGGATATCACCTTATATGGTAATCTTAGGCGTACAGCAACCCACCCACCTGCTGTTCAAACCTTCTGTTTGAAAAGAGCAGCCAATCAGAAGAAAGCGGGTTGAACAAGGAGCAAAGAGCTCACTTCAGACCTGATATAAGTGAGGATTATTTTGATTCATCAGTCAAGCAACTTTCAGTGTAATCGATGTTGTTCTCCAAAAGTTGAATCTGTTCATCTGGACGTAGCGTTTTGTGGGAGAAACGTTTCGTCACTCATCCAGGTGACTTGTTCAGTCTCAGCTGACTGCAGATAATTGATGTAGTGTGAGTACATAATACTTTATCTCACCGGCTCGTGACTGATGCTGCGTATTGCTGTCCAGCTTGACACGATGCTAAAGAACAAGATGTGAACAGTTTCTCTGAACGTTCACTGCGGGGCTGCTGACAGCGCTTATATTTGTTCTTAGTTCCTACTAGTGATGTGCGAAAACCACTGATTTCCTTTCCGATCCGACACCAAGTAATAGTCAGGGTGGTATCGACGATACTGATCCGATACTTTGTACAAAAACTTATTTTATTTGTTGTATCTTAAATTATAGCATCATAATGATTACAGGACATCAGATTACTTGTTCTTATCACTTAATGATGCAGAGTTCATCATATAGAAATAAAAAACCTGAAGTTGTGCTATTTGAGCACGCTGCCTGCCTGCAGCTCTAAAGGACTCTGTGAGAGACGTCTGTCTCGTCCTAGCAGCACCTGTCCTCCTCTTCAGTTCGCCTCAACATACGCTCGTCGTGTTCTGTGATATCAGTTACTCTGAGGTGTTTGACAAGGTTAGTGATGTTGCCACAACCATACATGCCAACCCTCCCGATTTTTCCGGGAGAATCCTGAATTTCAGTGCCCCTCCCGAAAATCTCCCGGAGCCACCATTCTCCCGAATTTCTCCCGAATTTCTCCCCGGACAACAAAAGTGGAAAAACCATATTGCAGAATTCATAGCGCGGCCGAGCCAATTCCAGTTTCCAACAACGGCAGCTGCTTAGTTTTAATATTACTCTTATTTCTCTTTCTGGGTCGCAAAAAACTTTTAACATATTTTCAGGTGAGAATGAAGCTGTGTGAACTTCAAACATCTGAGCCGACACATCGTCTTCAAACCCCCGCGCTACTCGGGTTAAACATGATATAGAAGTCACTTTGATAACTTAAAAATGTTCTTGTTTGGCTTCTTCGGTGTTTTATTTGTTCGTGAGTAAATCGGTTTGGCTGAGATTAAAGTTATTAGATTAGATTAAATTAAATTTAACTTTATTAATCCCTCGGGAGGGTTCCTCCGGGGTTTTACACAGCTGAATAAACGTCAAACAGAAAATGATTAAACAGAAGTGTGAGACGGTCGAGAGTTTACGTCAGCGCCCGGTTATATTTTAGATAGCAAGGAGCAGACGGCAGAGTTTCACTCCGCCGAGGGAGCTCGTGCCGTACTACCCGGCTTTCTTTAGACCGCGAAGGTCTAAAGAACCCTAAGGCGGAAGAGGAAGTAGTTCCTTTGAATGTAGACAATCCGAATGTTATAGTTTCTTTCCACTGTGTTCCTGTTAATGATAAACTACAAATTTACCCTAAATTACTAAAATATCGATATTTTAATGTGAGAATCGATTCTAGAACATAAATGACTGGTATCGGAGGAATCGATATTTCAGGATCGATCCGCACATCACTAGTTCTCTGACTTTAGCGAGCTCTTTGCACTTTCTTTACTAGATTTCTTTTCAATTTGGATTACTTGGTTGTAAAGTAAGAACAGTGGGATAGACACAGGCCTGTAATACACGCACAAATGTTTGCAGCCGTGTTGGATCCTGAGTTGTGCCCATGCTCGAGGTCTCTTCATTCGGGTTTATTTATGCATGGTGATGTTGTCTATCAGAATTGCCTCACACTGTTGCCTCAACCTGTATCTGTCTGTTTGAATCAACCTGTTGTTCGTGGCTGTCCGTCTCTCTGTTGGTCTTTGTCTCATTTGTCCATACGAGCGGGCGTCTACCTCGCTAACTGTCCCTGCGACCGTCTGTCGCTGTGCCCTTGCGTTAGGTGCACTGAAAGACATTGTGGCATTTCAAACAGCAGCCTTAAATGTCAGGTTAGGCTACAGTTATGGGCCCGCTCCCTCCCTCCTCTCCGGTCCAGGCTCCACCTGTGCTTATCTCCATTTTCCTCTTTTGTATCCCACGAACGTGTAAAACACCTTTGCCGTGTGCTTTTAATCCACTTTTTTATCAGGTTGAGAAGCAAACCTGTGCATGCACATAACTTTGCTGTTCACTTTGTTTGCCTGTATAATGAGCAGAGCCCAAGTATTTAACATTCTTTAATGCCCGTGCGTCTCTTTGTTTCTAGGATCATCCACGAGGACGGTTTCTCCGGCGATGACGTAAAGCAGTACAAGCCCGTTGTCTACAGCAACACCATCCAATCTTTGGCCGCCATCGTCCGCGCCATGGACACGCTGGGCCTGGAGTACGGAGACAAAGAGCGCAAGGTCAGCTCCCGTCCTCAAGCGTGCATACACGTTTCCCAAGCATGCCCAGCAGAACGTACGACACATAAATGACTCATTTTCCAAATACTGTCACCAACATTGTAGAGTGTGATGACAGATCACCATAAACGAGGGAAATGTTTTGTGATTTTTTTGTATTCTCACTTCTGTGAACTAAATAAGGCTCATCATTAAGCACTTAGCTCGTGCATCAAATTCCCAGCCTACGACTGACGCACGTAGCCACGGGATGGACCACATAACTGGGATAGATCAGGGAGAGGCCGGCGTGGGCCTTGCAAGACAAAAGCACCAGGAGTCCAGCTCTTGTATCAGACCTGTTAAAGTATATGTGGCAGGACAACGATCTTTACCAGCTTCAGCTCCTCGATTTGACCTTTTTGAAGACAAAAATCTCTCCGTATAAAGTTGTGGAGGATAGCACTTAAATATAGCGCAGGTGTAAGACTGCCTGTGCTGTGGTCCCTGAATGCTGATAGCTGGTCTAAGCAAATTCAGGTGCGGCAGTTCAGCAACGTGGAGGACGCATAATCAGCGAGCCAGTGTCAAACCGACACAGACCTTCCCTACACATTTCACTCTTGACTGGTTGCAGCTGTGTCTAATGTAAAAAATATTCACAGCTTGTTTGTTTTCCCAGAACGTTACACGCTGCCATCAAAGACAAGTTAGCATCACATTAGTATTCACTTAGAAAGCATCATTTTTCAGGGAACACTTTAAAGACGGTACGATCTTTAAAGACCGTACCGAACGACCTAACCAAACAATCCTAACGTGACCAAGGAGACAATGAAGGAAAAGTAAATGCCCGGTGAAAATGAGGGAAGACAAACCATCATGAAATGAAAAACACCAGCTTCCAAACAAACGCCGCCTCCTGAGGGACAAACGGATCATTTGCTTCGCCACAAACTCCAGTGGCCTCTGAAGTCATGGCAACGTTTGATGCTTTGGAAAGCATCGAGAGGAAAGCAGAAAATGATCAGCACTTGTTTTATATATATTTCATATTTTAATGGTCTTTGTTTCGCTTGCTGAGATTGAGCAGCGATCTTGCATCTTTTATTTGATAAACTGTCTTCAGTTTATCGGGATCGGCTGTGAACGGACCCTGTCACGCTTGGGCCGAAATTCCTTCACACTAAGGCTCACACCGGGTCACTTTCCCACTTTTGCTTTAAGTTATAAAGTTATTTTATTATTTACATTTGGCCTAATATTGATCCTTATTGCTGCTTCAGAGGATAGTTGGAAATGTCTGTCAGAATCTGCAGATTATACAGAACAAATAAAATGTTCACGTTGTCTTCCCAACAGTTTCACTGACATCTACGCTGGATGGCGATGTCTTCTCCGGTGCTGATAATCGGCGTCTGTCTTGTGTCAGTGACGTAAAAGACGGATTTAATGCGACATGACCGTCAAACAGCAGTCGCTTTCTAAAACATCAGATACGTATCGGATTCAGCACCACATACCAAAGTGACCCAGATCGGCTTTGAAAATATCGGATTTGTGCCGTTCACACTGTCATAGCACGATCGGATAGATGGTCGCAGAGGGTCAGAAAAGTCGGATTTGATGCGCTTTCGCCTGCAGCGTGAACGTAGCCTTAGTCTTTCCCACTTCTCAGTCCTCTGAATCCTGAAGTATACACGTTCAGTATACGACCTGCTAATTGAGGATTATGAATCTAATCCACAGAAGAGGATCGGTTCTATCTGAACGCAGGGCAGTGGGACGAGGCTAATCAACCGCTCCTTTATACTCACCTCAGTTTCAGGTTCCAAATTTCTAATAAATCAGATCATTAGACTTGTCAGGATATGACTCAGGCACTAAAGAGTGCAGGAAATGCAGTCATGTATGGCACCTTCAGTTAAATGCTGAACATCAGCTCGTGGTTTTGAATGCACTGCTGTAGGAGCGAACACGTTTTCAGTCAGCCTCACCTTCTCTGCTGGAACGTTTTGTTTGACCTCTGTCTGCACATGAAGCATCCTGATGTGTTTGTGTGATTCAGACGAAACACTGACACGCCCACTTTGTTCCTGATGTTGTATAAAAGTTCAAAGTGAAGATAAATGCTGCTGGTGTAAGTGTACATCATTAGCAGTTCTGTGTAGTTGTTGATGATGCGTCGCCATAACAGTCGTGGTGATGATGTCACGATGACAGCTTATCTGTCCTCCTCCTCACTGCGTGAGCGGCACAGGTTTGAACTGTAAGAACACATGCAGGTGACCTTAACCTTATCCAAAGGCGCGGTGTATTTTTAATCACAACGCTGCTTTTGATACTCCATGTAGAGGCTGAAATAACAATACACCTATTGATCAGGATATGCTGTGTGTGTGTGTGAGTTGTCTTTGTTAGACTATTGAAATGAGGACATTTTGGAAACGCAGTAGTGTGAGGAGTCAAGGTCAGCCATACAAACGTGTGTGTGTCTGTTGGAGGGTATAATATATCAAAGTATTGCGTTTCTATTTCGAGGTAAAGTGAACAGCCTCAGCTACATTGTTATTTGTACAGAGTCAATCCGTCCACCCAGCCAGCCGTCCAGCTGTCCGTTTTCTACCACTTATGCAGGTCATGGGGACGGCAGGCAAACCTCTCTCCTGCCCTCCAGCACCTAAAGCTCCTCTGGGAGACACCGAAGTGTTCCCAGGCAAGAATGGAGCAGTTTATGTTTTTGGTGTGAGAGTCGACAACAAGATTTCTGTGCTACACTACTTACCAGGTTAAAGTAACGTGTGTTACAGAAGGGTTGCAGGATTATAACAGGTTCTGAAATGAATGCAAAGTGTTGAAGAAGAGGCGTAAAACAGGAAAGAGGACAGAAGATAGATTTTTCAAGGCAAAATGGAGAAGTGACAGTGGACAAGAAACAGAATGAGCTGTGTTTACACTCCCCATCTGACTTCCCCACAAAGTAACCAGAGCAACATCCTACCCACATCAATAAAGGACGAGGGGCGAACGTGAACGTTTTTCATACCCGTATCCTTTAAGCTCTCGTCTTACTCTTTCAGCTTCCCCCTCTAATCCTGTGCTGGGATCGCGTATGTCCTGTCCCGTCCTATCTTTTTCTGGTCTTTTGCTTGCTCTTCTGACTGCGCCCCACCCACCCACCAATCTGTTTCTCTTCGCTAGTTGCTGTGGCAACCCAGTGTTTTCCCTTGCTCTCAACACATTCCACAAGCCCGTGTCCAAGGGCGCCGTGACACATACACTTGGAGACGCGCACGCACAAACTCACACGCGTGTGCAACACATGCACACATTATGATAGCTTGCTTGAAATAGATCTTTGAGCACTTTTCACTCAGGCTTCACAGAAGAAGCTTCAAAGAGAAACCTCTTTGGTGTTAAAGCCTCTGCTAGTCCTTCAATAAAACTACAGTTTATGGCTCCGTGCTGTGACCTGAGGTAGTATACTATGTCTGTCCTTATGTACATACCCTGGGTCAGCACACCTGAATAAGACGATGAGTTCATTAGCAGCCTCTGCAGGACTTCAAGACATGTTGAGGAGGTGATTTAGCCATTTAAATCAGCTGTGTTGGATCAAGGACACATCTAAAAGCTGCAGGACCCTCGAGGCCTGGAGTTGCCCACCCCTGCTTTAAAGTAGAGATGGCACGATACCACTTTTTTATGTCCGATACCGATACCGATATCATAAATTTGGATATCTGCCGATACCGATATGAATCCGATATAGTGTTTTTTAATCAACAAAACTGTTTTTTAAATATCTTGCTGCATTTTGTATAAGTTTAAAACAACAACTACACTAAAGCTATTCTGTTATACCTGTATGCACAAAAAAAAAATTTCATAGTTCAGCAATACTGATCAATCTAATAAACTTAAACCTACACCATCCTCCCTATTCTGGTATTTTAAAGAGTACTTAGCATAAATATTAAGCAACCTAACTAATAGGGTTCCAACTCCCAGCAACAACAAAAATAAATAAATAAAAAATAGGGAACCACCCCTCACGCGCCACCTCATGATGCTTAATCGACGTAATCAACCTTAATTTGATGCAGTGTGAAAAAAATGCACAGAAATCAATTATTTTTCAAGAAATATTAAATAGATTCAACATCTTTCTTCAACAAAATTGCAGACTGCACAGATGGTACCTTCCCAAAGGAAAAAGTACTATAGCTTACTAGGGTATATTAGACTTAATAGTTACTATATACAGTAATTGACTTCTATTCATTTTACATCAAATTAAAACTTTGGGTGTCAGATAATTATTTATTAAAAGCTCGACATTTTAAATGAGAATAAGAAAGAAAAGTATGTCTTTGTGCCCCCTTTTCCCAGTTAATGCCCTATCGGCCCCCCTGGCTACACACTTGCTTTACTTCTCTCGGGGATAACTTTGTCGGAGATGAAATGCCAGGTTGCTAGCGAAGCTCCAAATGCTATCCAGACCACCGACAGGTCCCGCATGCCACAGCCGCTCTATCACGTGATGCATACTGCTCCGACGTGCTAACGTTCTGAGGTGAGTTACGGCGTGTTGCAAGTTTTGTGAGGTGCTTTCGTGATATTTAATGGATCGGATTACATTTTTTATTTTTCTCCGATATCCGATCCAGTAATTTAGGTCAGTATCGGACCGATACCGATACGTAATATCGGATCGGTCCATCTCTACTTTCAACTGTTGACCAGGGTGCTGTATACAATTTAGGCGAATGCTTTCACCTGTATCGTCCTCTGTGTAAAGTTCCCCTCCATTCCCAGACCAACTTGTATTTAGAGATAATGTCCTACAGGATGCATTGGTTAGCTGCATTTAGATCCATTACTCCAGCAGTAGCAACAGTGCAGTATTTAAAATATGAACAGTAAAATATGGCATTTTTCATCCATCCATGTGGTTTTTTTTGTAACCGCTGTTGTCATTTAGGGTCCCAGGGTGCTGGAGTCTGTCCCAGCCGTCACAG